ATAAACTTACACACACACACACGCACAACCACGCAACCACGCTCAACCACACACCTACAAACACACACACACACACACACACACAAACAAGCAAACAAACACACATACGGTTGTACATACATACATACATACATACATACATACATACATACATACATACATACATACATACATACATACATACATACATACATACATACATACATACATACATACATGCACACATGCATACATGCATACATGCATACATGCACACATGCACACATGCATAGATGCATACATGCATACATGCGCACATGCATCATGTGCACATGCCTACATACATGCATACATGCATACATGCATACATGCGTACATGCGTACATGCGTACATACATACATACATACATACATACATACATACATACATACATACATACATACATACATACATACATACATACATACATACATACATACACACACACACACAACCAACCACTAACAACCACAAGCAAGAGCAAACCAAAGCAAGCAATCAAACCAACAAACAAGGCAAGGCAAAGCAAATCATATCTACGCAAAGAAAGCCCAAAAAGCAAACCACAAAACTTTGCCAAACCGATCCAAAGCAAACCAACAAACCAACCCCCCAAAAAGTCGAAACTTAGCCAAACCAAACCAAAGAGCAAAACAGACCAAAGCAGAAGAAACAAAAAAAAGAAACAACAAAAACAAACGAAGTAAGACAAACAAGACAAATAAAGCAAACAAGGCAGTGCATACAAAACACACAAGACAAGCACAACATACATTTATAAAACACAAGCAACACAAACAAAGCAAAAGCAAACAACACAGACAGAACGAACACAGTATGCAAAGCAAGAAAACAAAACAACACAGGACAGCCAACAATACAACAAGACAACACACGCAAACCCACACCTGCCACACACATGTGCATGCGCACGGGCATCCACAGGAGCATGTACACGCGCACACGCACGAAAGCATATAAATTCACGCACGCAAGCGCACACGCACACACACACACACGAACACGCACACGAACACGCCCACACACACACACACATACGCACACCCACACACACACCCACACACACACACACAAATCGCAAGCGCGCCCACGCATCCGCGCGCACACGCACGCGCGCACGCACACACCCACACACGCGCACACACACAGAGACAAACGCACAGACGCACAGATGCACAGGCGCACACGCAGACATACCCACACACAGACACACACGCGCACACACAAACACACAAAACACACACACACACAGACACACACACACACAGACACACACACACACACAGACACACACCCAGACACACACACACACACAGACACACACAGACAGACACACACAGACAGACACACACAGACACACACACACAGACACACACAGACAGACACACACAGACACACACACACACACACGCAGACACACGCAGACACACACACACACACAGACACACACGCAGACACACACACAGACACATGCAGACACACAGACACACCCACACACACACATCCACACACATCCACACACATCCACACGCACACACACACACACAGGTTTGTTATGCGCACTTGCACACACACACACTAAGCTGAACAAACTTCATACCATCATGGAGAGGAAGAACCAATTCCTTTTGGCATGTGTTCTTGATGATGGCGGGATGCTGTGGGCGCTGGGGGAGGGTGCTCGGTTTTAAAAAGCTCCGCCAAGCCAGCACCTAAACTATCGAAATCCCTATTGGACGCAGAATCCCCTGAAGCACCACAAGTTCCTCCCTGGCTTTGGCAGAGAGCACGCACCTGGGAGAGTTTTGAGAAGGGTGCCCCCGCGCGCTGCCACACGTCACTGTGGTGGAACTTGATTAGGCCTGATTGATATGATTGCAAATACTTGCTATGTGGAAGCAGGAGGGTACAGGCCGCGCCGCAGAATTACAATGCCACGCTCGGAGGGCCCTGACAATCTAGAGTTGCAAGGATATCCAAATCACTGCTTAGTTTAGACAGACCATCTTTGGGCGTTCCAGAATTTCTTAGGGTTAGCCCCTTGTGTAGGGGGCCTCAGTCCGGGATAACTGCAACTCCGGTAGTCTTGCATCCAATTTTCCTAACAAGGGACCAGTGTTGCATGTGCTGGAGCTGGGTCGTAGCAATGCCTGGCACACATGTCACATGTCCGATGGGCTTTTGCCAAGTGCGAAATGTTTCACAGTTGAACAGAGAGCAACGGCCGGCATTGCTGAACCGTATTTTCGCTCCACAGTGCAACTCACTGGTGTCAAAGACACGTTCCTATGTGAGCCCTGTTGCACAGCGCAACGTACTGGCCACGGCGTTCCTCTAAGTCTGGCAGCCAGCTCGATGCAAAGGTGGTGAGGACTCATTTTTTGCATTCTGGATCCTGTGAAGTGTACGTAGAATTTCCCACCATTGCCTCCTTTTCTGGCAACGACTGCTTGCAAAGGTAGCGGGTCGCCCGGGGGCTTGTTTCTTCACAGCTATGTAGTGTTCATTTCATGAACGGAGCACTCAGATCGAAAGCCCGGTCTAGTGTGTCAATGTCTAGCCTGTGTCTAGCATGAGTACTTCCATTACATGTCTGGCGCAGATTTGACACATCAAAGCATTATCGTCGTACAGCATTTGTGTAGCATGTTTCCATCAACTGCATTTCTATCTGGTTCTACTATGCGTGAGGTTCATGTGTCTTGCTTGTGAGTAGTATGCCATGTGAATGTCAGTCTAGCTGGTGTGTCATGTCTAATACATGGTTTTGCATTGTCCCAATCTATGTTCAGGATATGTCTGACATTAGCCCAACATTGTAAAGCATATGTGCATCCAGTGACCATATTTCAGCTACTAGAATGTGTCCGGGTATTCAGTATTTAGTTTGTTTCCACTATACCTCTATCATATTCCAGTTTTTCCCCAACATTGCCCCATGATTTTCTGGGGTGTTTGGATCATATGTTTGGTGTACGTATATGCTGGGCTTGTTTCCAGTTTATATCTAGCGTTTTTTGCAACTGCGTAACACGTATCTCGCATACGTCGTGGTGTATTCCTAGCGTGATTCCAGCACACTTTCAGCATATGTTTGTCCTAGTGTGTCTGCATTAGAAGTCTCAGCAAAGCATGCGTATCAGGTGAGATTCTAGTACGGCACTATCTGTTCATTAGCGTTTGCGCAGTATGTGTCCAGCAGGAGCATGTATCTAGAACGTGCCTTGGCTGGCTTCATCATATCTTCAGCTGACTATATGTTTGTATGTATTAAGCACAGCTAGAAGGCTTGCAGCTTATGATAAGTCGTGTTGCATCACCTGTCTAGCTGTACATCATATGTATTGCAATTATCTAGCTTGCATTTGATCTTGTATTATGCTATTGTATGTGTGGTATGCCTCTATCATGAGTACCCTAGCTAAGACCCTGGCTAAGATATGTAAATCACACGTATGGCGCTTGTCTAGGCTTCAGAGCAACTGCTCTGTGTGTCCAGCATATGTTTCCTGCATGGTTGTAACGTGTATATATATAATATATATATATATGTATGTATGCGTCTATTTGGGTTGCGATATGCGTGAAGTCACTTTTTGGCTATGCACGCACACATACCCTGGTCCGTTTTTAACTTCTTCAAACCACAACAACTTCCATATGACACAAAGCACCAGCCCAAAGTAGCTGACCTCAACTCCTAGATGAGGCGGTAAGCGGGGCAGGGTGCATCTTTGGTGTCCTTGCAATTGTTGGGTTCTCCGACCACAATGCAAACCAGCTCAGCATCAAAGCAGACAATTGAACCTCAATAGATACATTTGGATAACTGGGTCTGAATAATTGCATTCAAGGGTGTGTGGTTTTCCCGGTGTTGGCATTGCGGGCATGAAGACGTGTCAAACCGCGGAAAAGCTCAAGTGAAAGCGGCAAAAAACGGCTGAAACCCCAAGGACTGGTAGGTCCAAAAGAGTTTGGTTTGATGTTTGGCCTGCTCAAGGCTTACGGCTTGGGCTGGAGAAGTGTGATGGGTTTGGGGTCAGTGGCAAAAAGAGCAGCAAGCCTCGTGACCCAGAGTGGCAGATGTACCTCAGATCGCAAGACTTTTGCCATCGCATTTGTGGGGCAGAAGTGAATAGGCCGCGTGCGAGGGAAGTGGACGCTTTGAGGTTCTAGTTTGTATTGATTCTTTGGTCGGGTCTGGTCAGTTGTACAATTCTACGTTGCACTCCGTGCCCCTGTTTTCACATTTTGGAGGCTGGAGGTCTAGCTGAGGTCCAGTATAGCGGCTGATTCCTGAGGATGGCCTTGGCAACTTTGAAGCTGCATGCAGTCATGTATAGCACGTGTCCGCGCTGTGTAAGTGACCTTCGTATTTTGAGTTTACACAGGCAGCATTTCACTATTATTTGCTCTGAAGCTTTTACTTCAGGCTTAAATGTGTTAGGATGTTTTGGAAGTTCAACGGAATTTTGCTCAAGCGACATTGTAGCAGCTGTAGAAGCCGGTTCGTTCCCTCGGACAATAGTTGTTCCGTTGTACCCGTTCTCAGTTTAAGCTTTGTTTGGTATTAATCAGATCAGATGCTCACGTCCCATTCTGTTTGCGATCGTCCTGCTGAAGAAGGCTGTCGATCAAGCTTCCATGTCGGCAACTTGCTGAGGGGTGGATGAGCCACCACTTGAACCAATGCCAGCGCATAGAACTTGTTGGATGTTGGGAGACGTCAAGCCCTGAAGCTAAACTTGGAGTTATCAGTCAAACAAGTCATGGCAAGCAGACCATGACTATGTTCCTGCCAGCGCGGCCAGCTTCTTCACGAGCCAGATTGCCTCAACTGATCAATCATTGATGCCATTGCCATTGTCTAGGCCTTTGAGCCGACCCTCCGGTCTATGGAGGGATTCCATCACTTTCGGCGTGTCCGCGTACTCTTGGCTCACAGCGTAGATTCTCAGCCATGGCCAACGCGCGCTTGCTTCCGGTGCTGCATGTGGAGCTTGGACAGGCCACACCCAAGGCTGCAAGTTGCGCTCCCGGCGGTTGGCCCTTTGCCTCCAGCCATCCTAGGTCTGAGCTGAGATTTTGCTATTCAGCTTATTCCTTGATGCAGACTCGGAAGCACTCATACTCCATGTCACCACCCCCTGATGGCCATACCAGGGGTTCGCAATGTGCAGAATCGCCAGGCCAACCACAAGTCGAGAGCTCCGCAGGAGGTGGGAGTTCCGAAATGGCCATGGTTCAAAACCAATGGTACCATTTTGGGATAGGTGCACCACCCATTTTGGTCCATTTTAGTGGGGATTGGGATGTTCACGGGGGTACGATTTGGCTTTTGACCCCTGGCCAAGTCTTCTTCTGAGTTGCTGCTCTTCGTTGAGTCGTGCCAGGCGATGCCGCAGGCAGGGTCAGCAGCATGAGCACAGCGCAAGAGGACATCTGCGCTACGTTTCTTGTTGCCATGAATGGCAACACCGCACTAAAGGCACTTTCTGCTTAACCCCCGCATCAAGTCGTATCACAAGCATGCTTGCTGCGACACTTCTTTGACATGCATCTCATTTGCTGCCACTGCAAATCACTGTTTTGAGCTAAGCGCAGCATGAGGGACATGCCAGGTGCTGTAGCTGCATCTTGTCGTGCCCTCTTCTAGCGGGGCACAACGCTCATTCACACATCCCCAAAGAGGTTTATGCAGCGTGTAATCTAGTGGCAGGATCTTCGGCCTGTAGCCCTGCACAGCGTGTGAGTGAAGGAGTCAGTGCTTAAGAGATGACATTGTGCTGATGGTGCGAGGCGGTTGATAGGACCTGATGTTACAGCCTTCGGTCCTGACTGTGGATCTCACTCTCCCACGTTTCAGTTTCTGTATTGATTATATTATACACGTGTTTTACCGCTTGCCAGGCTTCACCTTCAGGTCTGATTTCATACCCTTGGTGCAGTCATCTCCTCAGCCATGTGCTTGAAGGCTGGCTCCTGGACCCTGGCCAGCTGAGAATATGTTTGATCTCAGCAACTCTCAGATTGGGCTTGATCTCAGTAGCTTCACGAATTCAAAGCAACCATCTCTCGTGCCAATTCCATTGGTCAGCCACACAGTCACACAGTCACTGTGGTGAGAATGCTGCCACGGAATTCGACCTACCGTTGACCTTCAGAGAGGCGCGCGGACTGCGACTCCCACGACTCACGAGCTGAGGCTCCGACCCCTGGGAAGGCTGCCAAGAACTCGCCGCAGCCCGAGTTGCGCTGGCTCTCAGCGGCGAGCAGAGGCTAGCGCTGGTTCTCGGAGGGTCGCACTGTTCCCGCACTGTTCGCACTATGCGCCAGTGGTGGCAAGAAAATCGAATTTAGATGTTCCACCCACGCTGAGAGATGCTTCGGGGTCACTAGTGCTGAGGCCGAGGAAGACTTCGAAGCTTTCCAGACGGACTTCCAACAGAGGCGGAAGGCAGCCAGCTTTGGACTTTCCGCCTTGTGGTTTGTGAGAGAGTTGTGGTTTTCGAGTGGGTGTGTGGTGTTGCTTGCACTACGTTTCTGATTCTGCAATGTCGGCACATGATTAAGAATAAACCCAGTCTGATCAAAGACGCCCGCTTTCTCCAGCCGACTGCCAGCCAATACTACTTCAAGGCGCCTACAAGGTTTGGCCAAAAGCCGCCTCTGAATACTGTTTGGCACTTCCCAGACCCCCCTCTGATTAAACATCCCGCGCAATTATTGTAAATAACCTTCGTCGTCACGCTTGTGCAAAGTGTGGCTGCGTGGAACCAGCAGAAAGGCTTGATAAGGATTTGCATCCGCAGAGCAATGATGGTTTCGGAGCCCTTTCGACGAATTCCCTGCGACATGTGCCGGGGCTGTCCCGGCTTCGGTCGTTTTTTTTTGGGCTCACGGCTTGGTATCTCAGAGATGAGGGGGTCTCAATGAACGGCCAGCCTGTGTTAGGCACTCGAAGCGCGGGCAGCGCGCGTCTCCGAGGAGTCTCAATCGTCATCGCCTCGGACACAGGCCATTGGCAGCTTAGGACTTGTAAATCAGAGGCATGCTGTGGCACAACTTGGATTTGCATCTGACAATGATGCCCAACTTGATAGACGGAATCTTCTGGGTCAAATTAGTCGCGACCATTCTCCGCAATCGCCCCTGACTTCGGTCTCTTCGCAGCAGATGACCTGTGCTCTCTGGAGCCGTCCTCATCCAAACTGTTGAAATGTCAAGGCATCGCGGGTTTCGCGGGTTTCTATCCATGGCTCTGCAGGATCTTGATGGTTCGGTTCATTCTTGAAGTCACCAAGTTTCTGGGAACGAGGGCTTCCATGCTTGGTTCCTTGGTTAGCCGCTATACAGGCAAATGAATCCACTGGCTTGGATGAAAATCAATAGGCAGCCACACAGGGAAGACCAAAAAGGTCATTTCAGGTCGATTCGCTTTGGGCAACTGAAAACTAACCACCCGCCCTTTCCATCGTCCCGCCTGGCCATGGCTGGAACGGAGTTGAGCCTAGCGGAGTTGGGAGCTCCATAGGGTTGAAAGGTTGAAGGAGCACCTGCACGCCTGGGTCTGGCTTTTTGTTGGCGTACCCCGTGTTTGGTCGGTTGCCAGGGAAACCAAAGGACAACCACCATTTGGGGGGTCCGAATCCGAAATGAAAAGAGAAGCATACCACGAGACAACACGAAACACGAAGCCCAGGGGCGGGTTGACTATCAAACCCACAGAGCTGCCAGTAAATGGAAAAAAATGAACCAAGGGTGCAAATCTGAGGTTGAAATAGCAAGACCGCTACTGTCTCGGACGTCTCATGCATGTGTAGACTTCCGCTCAAGGTAGTTTTTGCTCATGGCTCGCCTGCGGCTAGCATCAAGGGAGGCTTGTGCACCAGGCAGCGGGGCCCAACTCTGAGCTTTGCTGGCCCAGGCTGACAAGTTTGTCAACCACCTGCAGCAGCAAAAGCTCCTGCTCCTCCGCCGGGAGCTCAAGCTCCAACTTTTTTCTGTGCGCAACGTCAGAAATGGCCCTTGAGTTGAAATGGCTGTGGTTGTCAAAACCCAGGAAACCCCTGGTGAACATCCAAATAGCTGGCAAATGGATGTTCATCCCCAAAATGGAGCCATAGGTTATGCCCCATGGCCAAATCAGGCAGGAAGGCCAAGGCGCTTTCAACTGATCAAGCCTGACACGCCGCTCGCATATTCACCAGCATAAGCAATCAATAGGCAGAAAGGTGACCATTTGTTAGTGCTCCTCTGCACATGACCAGCATGCTCAATATGCGTACCCCTCCGTTTTACTGAGACCACAACATGGAGATTCCTCCATGCCCAGACCATGTAATCGCAGCTTTTTATTTTCTCCTCCCACAATTAAAGATTTTCTTTTTGAGGATCCCCAAAATTGCCAATACTACATTCAAATTAGGCCAATGCTAATTGAATTGCTGCTCACGACCCACGGAAATCTAAGCAGCAGAAAACCTGCAGAATTCAATTGCTGCTGATACTAATTTCAATTAAGTTAGTATTAAAGGAATTTGAAACTCACCAGGTGAACCTTAGTTAACAGTGTCCTTCCTGACCTCACTTCAACTCAAGTCGCCTACCTACACTAGCAAACCTCCCCCAAAATTAACTTGTTCCTAACTGACTGAGGGATAATGAACTGGTCCCAAAGCTTGCTGCAAGAGAGTTCTTGTTGCGCCAATCGAGCGGGTACAAAACTGCATTCCTGCACCTCTACAAAAATAGCACCCAGAAGAATGGCCAAGCCCTGCCGCCACTGGCTCCCACATTCCCAAACCAAACTTCACCAGCGTCAAAACTTGCAATCCCAAGTACTCAGCTTGAACCCTGAGACTTTTCATCCTCGCATGGTCTTCTGCACAGCAACCCACATGAATGAACACCCCCCACAACTACAGAAAGATCTTCCTAAGTTGAAAAAAAACAAAAGCATCAGGCCCGAATACTAAATCAGTTGAAGCTCCTGTCTCAAACATCCAGACCCGGAGCTCAAAGATCCTTGCCCAAGCCACGCCCCCCTAGAATTCTAGACCTAATCCGGGAGGGGGGGGGGTCCCCGGGGGGGGGACCCCTGATTAATCAAAAGCGGCGATTACATTCTATCGTGTCCATGACGAGGTCCCCCCCACCCAGACCCCAAAGTGGCCGTGTCCGAGTTGAACTCCATCCTTGACCAGTCCGCTTTCTTATTTAATGTTGCCGATATTGCCGAAGATTGCAAACACAGCACAGGGCTGCAAATGGCAGCGAAACGGGTTCCTTGCCTTTGGATGCAGCTTGTCTCGTCAGATGAGAGCACTAATGTCTTGCCACGCTGAGGCACGGTTAGAAGGCACTCGCTGCGAAGGCCTTGGAGAGCGGGCTCTGGTTTTTGAGTGTAGTTGTAGACGCCTTTCCAGAGATCGTTCGGTGGCACGGCTTCAATCCAAAATGTACCCAGTTGCTCAGTGGCGCCCTTTTTTCCTTTTAACCTCAACCAAGTAAACAAGGATTCCCTTTTTTTCCCATGGCCACTGGGCATCTGAGTGTATGGTCAAGACTTGGCATACACGCTGTCAGCTTCTCTAAAGACGGGGCTTCGATGCCTCCATGTGAGCTTCCATGCAGGCCTTGCCTCCATCGACGAGCCCCAGGTGTGGGCAAACTCGTCAAAGTGTTTGCCTTTGGCACACTTTCAACTAAATGCGCCTCGAGGTCAAACTGTGGGCATTTGTGCTTCCTGTTGACCTGTTGCGAGTGGCTGTAAAGCACATGGCCAGGCGTCTAAGTCTACTCTAGTGCGGGCTGGCGTGCAACAGATTGAGATGGTGTTGACAGCGGACTGACTGCTCTAGTCTTGTTTTCCGGCGTGCTGCTTTAGGTTTGAATGTTTTCCATGTCAGGAGGATGATGCTTGGGAGTTGGAATTTCTGCACCGGGTCGAGGAACTGAGCAAGAAGGCTGGGTATGTACTGGTCCCTTGCGACGCACTTGAATGTTGCTTTGATGACGGCATTGCATCATGCCAGATTGTCAGCCAGGAGTTGTAAAAGGAACTTAGAAGAAACTTCTGCAGTTCCTGTTGTTCAACAGTACACAAGAGCTGAAGGAGAGGAGAAGAGAAAAGAAAAGAAAAGGCCGTCGGGAGAAAGATCAGAACAGAAGGAGAGCAGAAGAGAACCCATTTTAAGAAAGGAGAAGAGAAAATCATTGAAGAAACAAAAGGCAAATAGAAGAGGCAACAAGTGTCCAGATTGCGGGACTGGTGCAGCACTTGGGGATGGAAAGTGCACAAAATGCGCGTGTTCCGGGGAAGCGCAAGAAGCCTTTGGCGCGATGCCAGTGTTTCGCAGCACTTCGGCAACCTGAGGTGCAGATCGCGTGGAAGGCACCGCGCTTTATTTGATTGGCGCTTTCGCAAGGTCATGCCCAGATTTCATGACAGGCGCTGGAAAGTCGCATCATCAGGAACATATAGTGGGACAGGCGCAGCACTTTTGCAATGTTCCCAAATCGCAGTGGCACGGGCGCGCAAACTGTAACGTGCCGATATCGTGGCAGGCACAGCGCTTTCGTGAGGTCAAGTGCAGATTTCGTGGCAGGAGCAGCGCTTTCGCAAGGTCCAGTGCGGTTTCTGTGGCAGGCGCAGCACTTTCGCAAGGTCAGGTACGGGTTCCCTGGCAGGCACGCCACTTGTAGAAGATGGATGCACACACGGATAGGCAGACAGATAGATGGCGAGAAATAGCGAGACAAGTAGATTAAAATCGGTTAGAATAGAATATAGATAGACATATTGAATCTGGACATAGACAGATAGAAATCGAGAGTAGAATGATAGATCGATAGATAGACAGATAGATAGATAGATAGATAGATAGACAAATAGACAGATAGATGCATATAGATAGATGGATAAGCAAATGTAGAGATTAGAAAGACAGAAGGATACGTAGATAGCTACTTTCAATGGTAAATGAACAGATATAGAAAGAAGGGTGAAAATTCATACTAGATTACATAGGCAAAAAATGAAGCCGGAAAAAGGCAGCTAGCCAATTAGATAGGTGCATGGGCCGATTACGTTGCAAGTGAGGGAAGGTGGAGAACGACGGATCGGGATGGTTGGGTGCAGTGGGCCCTTAGGGATCGTCTTTTGGAATTTGGCCCTTGTGGTTCTGTGACATCCGGACCCCAACGCCCACTCGAAAGGTCCTTTGAGACGCCGTTGAGACACATATGCATATGCCCTGGAGGTAGAGCAAAAGACTGGTAGATAGCTAGACAGATGCGTAAACATTCTTACATAGAGAGATAGGTAGGTAGGTAGGTAGACAGACAGATGAAAGAAAAAGAGAAAGAGCAAGAAGAGAAGCAGAAACAGAAACAAAAAAGAAAATGAAAGAGAAGAGAACGCGGAAGAGAACAAGAATAAAAAGAGAAAGAGAAAGACACAGAAAAAGAAAAAAAAGGGAACACAAAAGGAAGAAAGAGAAAGCAAGAGAGCTATGGTTCTTATATTTCGGAAACTTCTGGCAACCGGTTCTGGCGCCTCTACTGGTATTTCACTGTGTATGCTGTGAGCGCATGGTTTTTTTTACTACTTGCTTGTGGTGTTGGTGTTGCTGAGAGAGGTCTGGTAGTTGCGTGGAAAGTCCAGCTCTTCGCGCCCCTTCGGTGGACTATCTCAACCGTATATGCCAGCGCTGTCTTTCTGCTGTGGGGGGGTTCCATACATACTTGCATATTCCTTTGATTGAGATGCGATGTGTGTCATAGCGCAGCACATGAGCCTAAAATAATTCAGAATGCTATTCTCGACGTTATTTGATCGGCAGACTTGTACCTTGTTGTGGTTCGAAGATAACGACCCTGAATTCTCTACCGGCATGGGCAGCTGCATGGCGGTGTTTGATAGGTGAAGGCTAACGCTGACGAGGCATTCAGGTTTCTGTCCCTGCTGCACAAAGCAACGGACGCAACTCACATGTTGCCAAACAGAACCCTGCTAGGTGAAGTGGAGGTGCAGACTCAGACCAGTTGGATAGCTGTTACACCACAGGAAATGAGGCAACTGCCCTGCGAGGGCAATCTTGCGCTTCAGGAGGCCGACATGCAGAGTCCTGTGCGTCGTCTGGCCAGGCGGGATCTAAGCACATGGCTTCCTTGGCGAAACTCTGCGGGGCATTTGAGTGCGAGTTTGTTGTGAAGCAGTCTGTGGATGAGAGGGTTGCAGAAAATTCCTGACTAGGCGGCACATCCGGGAGACCAAGGCTGCGTCAGGGACAGTGCCCTGGATAGCACCCTTGTTGATGCTTGGTACGGCTTGGGTAATTTTGGACCTTTCAGAAGGCATGACAATAGAACATACATGGAAGGAGGTACTTAGGTTGCCAGTGCTTGAGCCTAGTGCTTGTGATTGCCTGTTGCCTGAGGCATCCATCTCCGAAGCGTTTCACAAGGGTCGCTCGGAGCATTGACGTGTCGTACAGAACACATCATTGCTACCCATGGCCCTTTGCGCTTTGAAGCTGGGTGCAAAATCATGCCAGGCTTGGTAGGATGATCGCAACGGTGGGTTCTTAGATGTCAACATTTGTTGGGCCTTTGTTGGAGAAGAGTCAGCTTGGCTTTTGCAACGCGTGAGGTCGATTTGCAAGCTCAAGGCTTTTGCGCCTAGAGCTGAATTACTAGGGTCGGTGCAATCTGGCCGTTGCAAGACTTCATTTGATCTGCCGGCAGAATGCTGTCAGAAATCCTGGGCATACTGCTGACAGAATTAGGCTGGGGACAGGTCTCCAAAAGCCTCTTAGGAGCGGATATTTGAAACGAGTCGTCCACTTGGAGGTTGCATGCTTGCATGTCCTCAAGATGTGCAGCCACACTCTTGAAGAGGCTTTTGCGTGGCTGTTCAACCCCCAACCTTGCCTGGTCAATGATTGTAGGTGACGGTAATTGGAACACCGTGAATGGCGGCATGACCAAACTTTTCCAACTAAGCTTCTTTGCAAAGCACCTCGGCATGGAGACATATCCAGAATCAACTGAACCACCCGCAGCTTTCGTGCAAGTGTTTGGTGATTCTGCAGTACGAAGATTTAAAGTTTGGTATGACTGCAGACATGCCGAAGGACTGTCCCGATCCGCCATATTATGTGGCCTTGTGTTTTGACTTCAACATGGTCCTGCCTGCCACCTTGTTGTGCCTTAATGCACAGATCAGCATCGCAAGAGAGAACGCAGAGAAAGACAGAGAGCGAGGCTGAAAAAAGGCACCGAGCTGCCATGAAATTGACAGAGCTGGACCAACAACTTTGCGAAGCAGAAGGTTTTGCCCAGCTGAAAGCTATGAGGTCTTTGCCCAGATAGGCTCCGGGGCTGGTGACCTATTTAGCTAACTGGGATCCACTAGAGGGGACGTTCCAGGGACGCCAAGTTCCGGGGATGCATCAGGGAGGGTTTCGGGTTCCAAGCAGGTGATTTTAATCATTGATGCTGCTGTGCATGCCCCCTCGTTTCAAGGAACATTGGGCGAAGCCCCACCGAGGCTGTTCGTGTTGGACCAGCTTTCGGACAGTTGCTTTTGGACGGGTCTGAGAAGCTAGGGAGTCCCAAATCTCATACTGGACAGGCTGGCTCCCAATGGAGCCTGACCACGACCACCACCACCAGCGGCGCACGGCAGGCTTGGAAAGCGGCTTGACATGGCAAACAACGGGGCTTCACAGAATCACCCTTGGTTGCCTAAGGATTGTCATCATCCAAATTGGGTCAACCATTCTTTTGATGGGGGTTGAACCCTAGGGAGCATCCAACCAGAGCAATGACGACAGGGAAGCATCGTGTCACTTGGCTTGTCTTGCTGGTGCGATAGGCGGGGAACGGGTTGGAATCAATCGCTTCGGGATTCCCTCAAAGGAAACCATAGGATGGATGGTTTATAGGGGTCATTCCCTCATTCCCTGCTGAGCACCAGCAAGTTTTGTTCGTTAGCTTGTTGGATTGGTTGTTTGCGATGGTGCCTTTCCCGGTGCTGTGGAGAGACAGCGCGTCGCTTTGGACAGGGCTGAACCGCTGTTCTTTGTGGAAGGCTTGGTAAACTGAGCATCCCTTGCAATTCTCGAGACGTTCTCCACCAGTGGTTTGCACGCTCCGCTTACTTGAATGTCTCCCTTCCCAGCTGCTGTGCCCCATGCCTTGTAGCACGAGTACTCAATTATTTTGATGTTTTGCAGGTGTCCTGTTGGAGAAGCCCAACCTTGTCTCGAGCACCTTGGCAGAGAAGTTTGTACCAGACGTTGCGTTTGAGCTCAATGCATTTTCTGCAATGAACTTTGCTTGCATTGTTTCCTTGGACAAATAGCCAGCCAAGCAGCATCTATTCTGGCAGGTTATTTCATTCTCTTGCGTCTGTAATGCCGCCTCGGGATGCCTTGGGACAAGCCCTGCACGCCAAGGATGGAACAGACAAGCTCAGCAGCTTGGTCCATGACACGCAGTGGGGGAAGGTCTTGTCAGTGACGGTAGTTCGCACATAATTGGCATCGATTTGGCAAAGACGGACATGCGAGGGCTGTGGAGAGTTCCTGTTTTTGTTTTAGCTCATGGAAGGGACACATGTTGGTCCCATTTTTTTCGGGGCTAGGGCTTCGCGGGTCTCAGGTTCGGAACCGGTACAGCCATGGAAGTTGACTAGACAGCTAGTCGTTCACCAATGATGTTCTTTCCCGCTAGGCCTTCGGAGCCGTGTCTTTGCCATGATTACTTGTTCAAGCAGAGGCACGAAATTTGTTAGCCAATTCCACTGGCTCTTCCAAAGTAGCCAGTAGATCCTATATGAAGCAAGGCGCTGAGCACGAGGCATGCCATGAGTATTTGTCCACTCAGTGCGTGTTGTTGTCGCCAACCGGCGTTCGGCCCGCAATCGTTCTGCACAGTTGTTTAGTGCTGCGCACCTTTGCTCTGACAGAATAGAAGTAAAGAGGTCGACTGTCATGCACCTTGACCACACAACGAGCGCGTTCAAAAACAGTGTCTCTTGGAATACCCATCCATTGTAAATAGCATCCGATTGAGAACAGTGTACCCGGTATGAGCTTCACAACAAACAAGTCAAAACATACAGAAGAGGGTTGAAACGTCAAATCCTAAAAGCCAATTCCCATGCCAGGGCTGCCTTGTATTCCAACCGTGATATCTTGTACTGGGACCAGCTCGCAGTATCTTCAGGTCGATTTCGCATGCTTTTGATTGCTCTACCTGTTCACAATGTAACAAGCCAAGGCCTTGGCTATGGCACGGAGGCGGAGGGTTTGCGACGCTGCCGAGCAATTTTTTGACGACTTCATTAACCTGATGAGCCGAGTTCCATCATCAGCCCGTAACGCAATGACAGCACCAAACAACAATCCAACCAGCACATGGCTCAATTTGAGCTCAGCCTTCGCAGATGCTTCGCGTTGTTTTGTCCGCTCGGCCACCAACATTTCTCTTGTTTTTCCTCGCTCACACGCCCACATTGCGCAAATGTACTGAAAATCATAGCATCATAAGTGTCTCTCCACTTGTCAGTTCTTGGGGTCAAACTGACCATTGGCCACGCGCGTGCCAGATGTGTAGCTCTGTGACCGTTTACTCTCGCGTTGCCTCGGTGGATTCCGTGGAAGCCTTAGCTGCGACGTTCCCGACGGATGGGGAAGCAGAGCACAGCTCCCGCACAGAATGTGGCTGTGGGTCAAAAATAGGTACCCCAAATGGACCCTGGTAAATGGAACCAAAGACTAAAACCTGCCGTCTGGTGCGCTGTCCGGTCTCCTTGAAGTGTCATTGGACTTTGCGTGCCGAAAGCCGGCAGCCTGGCAGTGCTTTGCGGAGTCAACGCAAGGTAGCAAGCGATGAGTGGTCAAGGACCAACCGATTGCTTGCTTGTCGATCCTAATGTACCGTTTTGGCAATGCTGAATCCAGCGTGGTGCTTTAAAATTTGATTAAGAGACATAGAGGGAGACAACTCTTTCTAATCCTATTGCTGGTGCTCAAAGGATCTCATCCATTGCACATCAAGGCTCCAGGTAGCTTTTGCTAGTTTTGCCTTCTTGCTTTAGCAGGTGATGAGGGCAGCTGGTTTTGCAAAGGCGTTCCAGAATGTGGCCGCCCACAACACCGTATGGCTAGGCGGAGACAATGGCCCTTTGCGCTTGCCGGAAATCCTATCCCCAAAAACGAGAGAGAGAGAGAGAGAGAGCGAGAGATCAGAAGCATCGCAGTACGATGATTCAAGCATTGCAAGATGATCTTTCTGCAAGCCGCCCGGACCTTAGTTGGAGAGATACGTGAAGCCCCTGTACAGCTATTCATGGTATTTGACGGCCAGCGGTCAATGTCCATGGGCATCATGGGCAGCTGTCTATCTCACGCACAGCGTTCATGACTTAGGATTCTCCTCCACTAGCCTGCAAGCTGCAGCCTTGGTTTGCCTTGCCGAAGTTGGGGTCTGCGTCCAGCCACAAAGGCGGAACATGTTGGAAGTGCAGAATGGATGTTATTTGTGGGATCTCACCGGGCAAACACGTGGCCTTGATAATTCATGGCATCAGGGTGTCATGACGCGGCATGTTTCTGCAAGATGGCAGCACCTATTGCTTGATGCCTCTTCTCACCACGAGTGGTTCGAGCCGTGAGTGCTGAGCTTGTAAAGCTTTTTTTGCATGTGACGTGTGTATCAATGTGTGACAAGTGCTTGGGATCTTTACAGCCAACGCGTGTGCGCTGCGCGTGTTGGTAAACTTTACATACCTTCTCATTTCAGCCTCATTCCCCCAACATATTGCTGGTTGTAAAGTGCGAATGAATGATACTGTGGATGGACGAAATCCTACACCACCCAAGAAACCCTGCCCTGGGAAACCAGTTGTTTGTTGGTATTTGCTTTGTATTTGCTATGGCTCGGAAAGATTGCACTTGGCTCCCCTCACACCCCTTCGAGCTGCTCACCTCCGCCCCGTCTCCGTTTTCCAGTTATGGTTACACAGTATCAGTTTCACTCAGGAGCCTATGCTAAGCTTTGCATCGTTTGACGCGGAACCTTTGAGCTTTCTCTGGGAGGGCACTAAAATGGCTGTGCGTCAATGGGGGTACGATCTGGATTTTGACCCATGGCCAATATGTCCTTTCAAGGCCTGGCTTGTGATTCGACAGGTCTCATCTTTGAGACCGTTGGTCATTGAGAACTGGGAGACTGGCAAGGCAGGTGCAGCACCGCTTGGGCGGTCTTGAGCCTCATAGCCGCGTGGGTTGGTGGCGGGATGAGAGGCCCTGCCAACCAGCTGAAACCGTATGGGTATGGCTCAAAATTAAAGAGCTGGGGTTACGCGGGTTTTGGTCTTTGGTTCCATTTACCAGGGTGCCATTTTGGTACCACTTTTTTGAGCCACAGCCGTATAGAAGACTGTTTGGGGCTTTGAATTCGAGTCCATGGTCGACAGTTGATTACAACCGATGCCGTGACACATCTGCAGCGTGCCAGTTGGCGTGCTTCAAACCGCTTGGCTTTTGTTAACTGAGTCAAGGCCCGAGGAAAACTTGTGTAGCGCAGTTCAGTCAAGAGCCGAGACTTCCGCAGGTACAAGTTACGCCGCTGTGGCACTCCGGGGCCACGGTCGCCTATGGCCCCTTTCCTGACCAGGCATGGCACAGGAATGTGGCAGCGTGATGCTTTTGCTTGCAAAGTCTGAAAGTAAAGATTCATCTTCGTCATGACTTCGAATGATCATGCATGATACTGGCTGATGACGTGGGCCTGGTGTCGTCAGTTCCTTCTCCGGGAGCATTTCTTGCTTGCAGCCCGCATGCGCAGGCGCTAGCGTGGCAGTGCACACCCTCCCTTGCCAGGTGGTCAACAATACCGCTAGTCAGAATGGCACTGAGTGCGCAACCGATGTCTACAGATGCCTGGGACTCAGAGCAACCGGGTGGCCAAAGATGCAAATGAAGAAATCCCATGTCCAAAGACAAGCTTGCACCTTGAGTGAAGAGCATGACATGTTCCATCTCAAGAAAAACAATCTCTGACGGTAGCGCAGGAACTGGGGCGGGGACTCCTTGCAACATGGCGTTGCTCGTCCCAAATGTTGGCACATTGGTCATGCAGACTTGTGGCCCGGGTCAGTGGAAAGCTCGACGAAGCTCACTGCTCACGCCGCGCGGCACGCACCTGGCAAACATCCAGCTTCAACTCCAGAAAGCTCACATCCACCTAACATCCACCAGCTTCAACATCCAGCTAACATCCACCTTGTGCTTTTCCCGCCGGAAAGCTCAGAGGGCCCGTGGCCACCGAAGAGCTGGGGAAGTCTCGGTGCGCTCTCGCTGGCCATGCAACGAGTGAGTCCAACGAGTGCGAAGGCCCGGACGGCTCGGAGCTCCTGCGGGATACGAACTGCGTCTTCCCCAGCTGTCCGAAGGTGGGCTCTTGCCTCGACGTGGAAGGGGATGGTCCACCAGTAGTGCCCTTTTAATTACCCTTTTTTAGGGGAGGGTTCCCCTACTAAAATAGACTACAATGACTACAGAAAAAGGGTACCCTTATTCTAACCTCTCTACTGGAGGACCTGGTATTGTATGGTGAGTATTGACTTTGTCCACCGCAACCAACTCGGCAGAAGGGTTTTTTGGCCGGAGAGTGAATTTATGGAACGTAACACCTATTCATCGCTTATATGGGCCATCCCGTCTTGGACAATGCGCAGACTGAGTCCGATGTTGAAGCGCTTTGGCTGACCTCATCGAGCCTCCGGCAATCCTGCATGCCTTTTTTTGTTTGATCTGCAAGTCAACCACGGATCCGGTGTTTTTTGGTTGGTTGGTTGGTTGGTTGGTTGGTTGGTTGGTTGGTTGGTTGGTTGGTTGGTTGGTTGGTTGGTTGGATGGATGGTTGGTTGGTTGGTTGGTTGGTTGGTTGGTTGGTTGGTTGGTTCGCCGTAGTAAAAAGAAAAAACGTTACCAGTCAACCACACCCTTGCTTGCATCACGCCGCCAGGTGCTTTGCGAGTTGCATGCCCTTTGCTTCGAGGCTGGGTCGTTCTGGGTCTTCCTGCTGGAAACTTGGGTCCCTTTCGGAGCCATCTTTACCTGTCTTTGAAATGTGGGCCAACGAGCGGCATGTGGCGAATTGCCAAGGCATCCAAGGCTAAGACTTCAGAAAGTGAGCTCTAAGAGCTCTCGGGTTCTTGACCCAAGGCTTCACTATTGAGTGCTGGCTTTTGACATTGCGATTGCTTTCCTACTTGTTGGTCTGAAGGGCGCGATGAGCTCTACCGTGCATGGACGAAATTCCATTTCGCACCACCTACTGGAATGATGGTTCCCCTGCAAATACCAACAAGCAATGGTTTCCCATGGTTTCAAAGTGGTGCGAATTGGATCTCGCTTTTCCATCCACAGCATGTCTGGATGCAGTTGGGAAAGTCGGTCCCGAGCAGCTTTGCCCCTCCGATGGGCAGAGGCGAGTCGCATGAAGGTTTTGTCCATCTGGGCGCCGCGAGGCTCAGCGTTTCCACTGCGGATTCCCGGACTGGAAGCAGCTGGGCACGTGCTCTTGCTTTCAGTGCTCTTGCACGTGCTCTTGCTCTTGCTCTTACACAGGATGTCATAGTAACACAGGTTGCATCTAATCTGCCATAGCTGCAGGCAATCTGTGTCGCATTTGCAGTTCCAACGAGCAGTTGGCTAATGATTTGCTTTGCAGCTGCGTCCGCAAGCGCCAGCTTGGATGAGTTGAGCCATGGCCTTGGGGCATAAAGTGGCGAGGCAGAGCAAGAAAGTCTGTTGTTCATTTGCCACTGGGGCAGCGTTCAACAGAGGCCAAGGCCGCTGATCTTTCATGAGGTACTCTCTTGGGCGGCGCCTGGAGGGCAGGCAACTTCAAACAGGCCGAGTTCACGTCTGGTTTCATTGGTCCTGATGCGTGACTCGCGTGGAAACAAGCAACTAGACTACAAAGCTGGCATGGCTCGGTATGTGTCAGGGATCCAAGTCCTGCGAGGCACAGGTCCGTGAACAGTAAATGGATCTAGCTTGCATTGTGACATTTGGCTCCTTGCAAGCAGCCTTCCTGCTTGATTTTGAGGCCATGAGTCAGGCGTTAGTCAATCAGTCTGCAACTCCATCCTGTGAGGACCGCTGGCGAGCCAATCAGTCTCCAATGCCCTTGACGTTGTAGTCCGGCGCTTTGGGGTTTCCTCCAATTGGCCAATTGTTGTGCGAGGAGTCATCACAACTACCGCTGGTGTGGTTAGTATTCGGGGTTTCATTGATGTTGTGGAAATGCTTAAAATCATGGCAAAATCAAGATAGAACGTTGGAAAAACAATGGACTTCCAAACTAGGCGACGGAAACACCTCTGTGCACGTATAATATATATATATATATTATTATTATACTTTATTGTATATATATATATATATATATATGTATACAAGTATGTTTGACGTGCAATGCGCATCTTGATTTGAAGCATGTCGTGTGTTCACTTTCGGAATGCTTGCTGCACGGTCACAACTGGCACTGCCGGTCTCTAGGTCCTTTGGGGCATTCGCAGTGCGCGTTCTACACCAGTCACAGCCTGAGCTGGGCACAGCCACTCACTTCGTGGGCTAGATGCGGGCCCGTCAGCCCGTCAGCCATTCGGGGCATATCAGCAACGCACAATCTTGCCAGCCCATCGCTTAGTGTCTATTGGTTTTGCAGGTTGTGGTATTGGTCTCTGTCGCGCCCCATCGGTTTCTGGTGGACATTTTGTGGGATATTCATATTAGCAGCATGCTTGCGAGTCTCACGCTGAAACTGGCTCAGTTGGTGGGCCCGCCCTCGGAGTTTTGGAGCTTCGACCCCAACTTCGAGCAAGGGCCCGAGATGATGTTGGGTCAAGCTGCATGTGACACCAAAGGTGTCCCGCTGGATCAAACGCCGTATGCTTCAGTTTGGCGGGCCCCGTTGCGTGGGACGTGGGACCTACCGACACTGTGTTTTGGGACCATCTGCAATTCCTATGGCCCGCCTGTACAGGCAGGAGCGTTTGAAGTGGAAGGCCCAACGTGTTGCCGTCATTGACTCGCTAAAGCACACATTGTGTGGCCCGCCTTGCAGGCCCAGCAACCCCTGGGCCCAGCGCGCCATCCGAGACATGTCCGGGAGCTCAGAGCAAACCCAACCCGACGATCCTTGCCCAAAGTTCGTTTGTTCACTGCATGGTGCTTTTTGGGCAAGGAAATCTGACTTGATTGCTTATTCACTATGTATTCACTGTTTATTCACTGTTTTTTGCAGAGGCGTTCGATTTAGAGTTCTCAGTTCGATGAACCGCTTGGCTTCAAATGCAGCCAATCTCTGACGACGATGTACGGGGTTTGATGAGATTTGAGTGAACGACGCGCTGTATCTCCCAGGTGCACAGATCTACCTGCGAGTGGGCCCCGCCGTGTTGACTGGTCCACGGGGGTGCCAGTTTTTTGGTGGCTTTTAAGGGACACCGCAAGGAAAACCACCGTTTTGGGGGGGACCCCAAAAGAAGACGCACCCGCAGAACCTGTTCTTAACATGTTCTTTACAGCTCCAGGCACCTGCTGTTTTTGGCTCAGATCTTGGAACAAGAGGATGCAAAGAGAAATGTGGAACCATGGGCCGCTTTGACCAAGCAACTAGATTGCTGGAGCGTTGCTTTTGACGCAGGACATGACCGGATAGCCACATGAAAACCCCCACATGTGGGAGTACTTGTTGTCCACTCCACTGCACACTGCAAACGGGACAGAGAGGCTCGCCTCACCATGTCACATGGACAGAGAATTCACCAAAGCGGAGCTCTACGAAGAGCCATTCCCTTGGACCATCATTTGTGGTCAGGCGGGTGTTTCTTGCTGGGACATCGATGCCCTGTGGCTTGTGCAAGTCTCTCGCAGGCGAAAGATTGATTGCAGGGAATTGGGCTGATGGGTATGTTTGGGAGATGCGGTGACTAGGCTGCCAAGCGCTCACAGTGAAAGCTTGATGATATTGTGTTTGCCTTTGTTGGAGGTGAAGCGGCACAATGTCACTATTGATATGTAAAATACACGGTTGATTGGCACGACAACCATATACTCATAGTTGACAAGTATGCCAATTACACAGACACCAATACGTGAGAATCGACAACCAACCACCTGTGGCGGTTTTTACTTACCGCGCTGTGGCGCGGAAGAGTGCGCAACTTTTCGCGGAAAGGTATGTAGTATCATGGGATGAATCACTACTCGTGCACTACACATGTACTGAACAGTTGCAATGCTTGATGGGGCCGCTTGTACTACACTGGTACTTAATTGTTGCGATGCTCGATCTGAGCTGCCACAGTGTACTTTGTGTACTGCTCTTGTACTGCGCTGAGAACGATGCCCAAACTTCTTGCTCGCGCCGATGCGCCACAGTGGCGCACGCCAGCGCTCAAAACGATACCCAAAACCATACCAAGACGAAATCCCTAGATTTGCCGCCGTCGCCACGCGGATGGACCAATTCCTTGTGAAGCGCAGCTTGCGTTGGTTGCCGCGGCCCTGCCTCCCTCTCTTTCTGCGCTGCTGCTCCGCTTCCTGCCTTTGCTTTGCCTTCCCCTTCCTATTCTGTCTCTTGCTTCCTGGGCTTTCCCCTTGGACTGCTTTACTTCTTCCGTACAGAAACACACGTATGTTTAGACGCATACCAAGGTGTGTGGTTTTGCTTGCGTTGCGGAAGATCCGCGGAAGGGTGAGGCAGAAGGCCGTCTTTGCAACAAGGAATACGCGACATTTATCTAAGCTCAAGGCCTATGTGGGGTAGGATTCGAAGTGTTCCAAACGGTTCTTGACGGAGAGTTGCGGCGACAATTCTGACGCTGAGTGTGGGCATGATGGATTAGGGCGACAGGCAGGTGATGAGTGACTGCGACAAAGACGGCCAGTGTCACGGACAATGTTGACAATGACGGAAGGCTTGACGAGCAAGGGCGGCGATGACGGACAGGGCGACGGACAGTTGTGACGATGACCAGCGGGGTACGGATTTGATTGTGGGATGCTGAATGGACGGAAAGGATAGTTGAGGGGTGGCAGGCAAGATTGCAGGCATAGCAGATTGATAGCAACAACGCCTGGGTGCCCCGTCATGATTCCAGCTGAGAAACCACACATAGACTTTAAGACGTGTATGTGTATATATGGTGGAGGTCTGGCACCCCCCCCCCGCCATGGTCATGGTAGCCTTAAATAGGGCCCCACCCCCTCCCCCCTGTGGGCCCGCTGGTTTTGCAGGTTATGGTCATCCCCCGCCTGTGGGCCCGCTGGTGGGCTCCGGTTTCGTTAGGGCCAAGGCTTCGAGAGTCGTACCCGGGTCGGCGAGCGGCCACCCCCGCCCCCCAAGTGGGGGGGATACCATTGGGGGGGGGGGCCGCTCGCCGACCGGAACCATATATATATAAATATATATATATATATACATATATACACACATATACGTGTGTCTCTGTGTGTGTGTGTGTGTGTGTGTGTGTGTGTGTGTGTGTGTGTGTGTGTGTTGAAGACTGATTGTGCTTGAACAGCACAACATGTCCACAACATAATCACCTTTTTGCTGACGTCACCATGCTGAGCTCGAATACTATCGTTGCTCTAATTGAATGCTATCGCTTTGGCCGGACTTGGAGGTCTATGCAATCGGCGACTTCCTGGCATCTCACCCTGGGGGGGCTCTGATACGCCGAGCCATCGGCGAGGATGCCACAGACATGTTCCTGGCTCACCATGGTCCAAAGAGCCGCGCCAAAAGCGTTTTGGAACCTCGGCGTTCAATGCGCGTCAAAGCGTATTTTGTTGTCTAGCCTCGAACCGAAATGGATCGTTTCACAGTTTGATGCATGTATGGGTCTTCCAAAGGTTATTCTATTCCAGACGCATTGCGGCATTGACATGCGGTCCTGTTCCAGTTTGCCCCGAGCCAATAATGCAAGTATGCCGCGAGTGCTTGAGATATTGCGACGTCAATCTGAATGAGTTGTAGGCTTTGAAACCATGTTGCATTCCTATCCCCGACACATTTGATCCTTTGTCGGAGCTTTACAAACAATTTGTAGCAGCGTTTGTAACGGTGCACATGCGCGCATGGCAAATGCAAGCAACTTGGGTTTTGGATTCATGCCAAGTTAAAGGAGGTTCATTCTTGCAGAGCATGATAATGCAGTGCTTCGAGAAGCGTTTGAGCTTGGATGCAACAACTACACCCGAATCTCACCCGACTCCCACCCCGCCCCACCCGACTATTTTTTCTTGCACCGCACTTGCTGGTAGCTTGCAATTCGCTCTTTGGTCGCTTGAGAGCCCCGTGTCCCGCAAATTGTTGCATACGCAGCTCACAGCACCAGGTGCCGTAGTCAGGATTCGTTCTCGTAGCCTTTCCGCTTGCCCAGGCAGAGTTCTGGATTGGGCGCCTCAAGGGACAGGAAGCCATCGATTTAGATGAGGCAGGGAATGGCGGTTCAGCAAACTGGAAAGCGGGCCAATTACTTGGGGCTTTATGTTGCGGACCAAAGCACTTTGTCTGGAGTCTGGTCAGTGGCAGGCGGCATGCGCATGTGTGAGCGGATTTACTTCCGACTCTCATCAGCCAAGCAGAGTGATGCAGGGAGAGCACGAGAGACCGTTGGAACGTCAACACTGTATTGATCTTTTAGCCCAGGGTTTTGTGAGTATGTCGCCAAGCTGGCATTCAACTATATGGCTCCTAACAGACTGGACGCTTGCAAAGATTGGCCCACCTTATCTGGAACCGGCAGCATATTGGAGCTGCTGTGGGGGATGCAGCGTGGGTGTTTCCAAAAAGCGCTGGTTCTCAGCAGTTGTTCGAGGGAAAGACCCCTCTCAACCATATACCAATGGTACCATTTTGGGGTAGGTGAATTTACCACCCATTTTAGAACCTGTTTTAGTGGTTGGATTGAATCGGATGTTCACTGGGGGTAGGATTTGGATTTTGACCCATGGCCACAAGCATTGTGGTTTCCGTTCCCCTCTCAAACATATGCCTTGTGGTTGCCTTTAAGGGGAAACCCTAGGTTCATTTTGAAAACCAGTTTGTCCTTCCCTCGTCGCATGGCCAGAGCCTCCCTCAGGCGTGGCGCCGGCGCCCGCTGCAGCTCCACTTCTGGCGCCGCTTGGAGGTCCCCCTGCGCGCGGAGACTCCCAGCGCGGAGGCGATGGCACTGGCCATGCTGCCGGGGGGCCCCAGCTGTGGCACCCGGTGGTTTTCGTTTCACCCTGTGGCGTGTTTTCGCCAAAAGAAAAGTGTGTTGAAGTTCTGTGCGCTGATTCTGTGGCAGGTGCAGACATTCGTGTCGAAATTCGTTTCAGGCGCAGTACTTTCAGTCAGATGCGCGGGTTGGCTTTTGTACATTATGTTTTTTTTACGTGTCCAGTGTGGTCCATTTTGGGAGGGACAGGACTCGCAAATGTCCAGAAACACCAGGGGACTTCAATTTGTCATCCCGTAGTCTATGTTTGAGAGCATAATGTAGCATCAGGTCACCAGGTCTTAGACCAAATTGCTCAGTAGCTTTCTTCGCACATGTGCTGATTGGAGTTGCCCAGGCGGTGCTTTGCAGTTGGAAGCTCATTTCCTCACTGAATGTCCTTCAATGCTATGAGCTTCATGCAGAGCCGTTGCTTTGGCCTTCACACTCTTGGAATCTGATGTGAGATAGCAGGCTCTTCATTCTTTGTTCATCTCACAACTGGATGCACGTACTCAGATTTTCCGGGAACAGGTCTGGCTTGGCATCACATTGACCGGCATAGCCCTACCGTCCATCGCAACCCAGGGTTTCACGAACCTGCTTACTTTCTCCGACCTTCCGAAGTCCAATCATCACCTTGCCAAGTCAAACTCTCGACTCAGTATTCGCCCGCCAACTTCCAAATCTGGGTATGGGTCAAAATTAAACCACCAGGGGACCGCAGGTTTTAGTCCTTGGTTCCATTTACGCGGGCAACCCAGTTTGGGTACCAATGTTTGAGCCACAGCCATCTCATGGACTGAGGAGTTGCTTTGGGGTTTGGTGCTTCCTGTGCTATGCGCTGGGCTGCTGGCGCCTGAACCTTTGCCTCGCCTGGTTCTGGCAGCGCCACTTGGACGCCGGGCTCCACGCGGTGCTCCACGGGGACTTCCGCTACGACCTGCGGCTGCAGCGAGGTGCCCAAGACGCACTCTTGCGCTGTTGGTGTACACGTCCGTCCATCCGTCCGTCCGTCCGTCCATCCATCCATCCATCCATCCATCCATCTATCTATCTATCCGTATAATATAATATATATATATATATATACATATATGAATATATATATATATACATCCATACATAGAGTACAATACAATGCAACACAGCACAATTCAGTACAATAGAATACAACACAATGCATGCAGAGATGTCCGGCTAGCCCGTCTCGTCGTACTTATGCACGTGCTGATTTCATGATTTCCACAGCAACAATGATGCTAGTGGAAACGCAACCGTGCATATGACGGTTTCAGAGCTCTGTCAAAATTGTATGTCTATCGCTTTCAACAAAGGTAGCCGAACCTCGTGCACTGATGGTGTTCTGATAGAAATGAGAATCAAGTGGATCCGACAACAGACATGGCCGCGACCTTGCCACTTCTGGATGAAAGCCAGGGTCCAGGTACCTGACAAATGGAGAAGTCCGTGTTTTTAGCACTCTTTGCGCGTCCAAGCTTTTGACAACATGGAGGCTTCATTGCCTGCGGAACAGCTGCCACAACGCTTCTTTTGTTTCAAGTGAGAGCTCAAGAAGATACTGAAAAAGGATACCACAATCCGCAGGGCCAACCCAAACCACGCAGTGGTTTCGGCGCAGCGCAAGCAAAGCAATGGGCGTAGACACTGGGGTCCTGGCCAGGTCTATTCCTCTGCTACAGCCTGCTGTGCCACCGCGCCATGGAGTATTACCACGGTGCCCGGGAGTTGCAGGGCACTGGCATGAGTAAGCATTGGCCAGGTTCTCAGTGGCCGTCAGTGATTCAGGAATGCAGTAGGGAGGAGTTGCAGGTTCGGTGCTGGAAAAGTCGGGCCAGCACACTGGAGATCACACTTGGCAACTGTCCCTTTCAGGCAGCTGGTGCGCTATGTGCTTGTCAAAAAAAATGTTGTGTTGAAGGTGCACTCTTTGGGTGGCCATTTGCCCCCATGTTTGCAGCTCAACTTTTTTTTGTCAATGCTTCAGACTGCAACCTGCGTGTTTGCATGAGATCAAGCAGCGCGATCAAATGAAGCTCTGCAACGCTATGCGCTCAGGTGGCACCACATCTATCCCAACGATCCAGGATTGGGTCTTTGGCGTGTGACATTTTCAATGTGGCACATAGGGGCTCCATAGTGTGAGTTGCCTTGGTTCTTTGCATGGAGGCATGTCCCCCCGACTGCACCAAACATTTCTATTTGGAGGACGTGACCCTGACTGGAGCACGATGACTGGGCTGGTCTGGGTTCGGCACTCGCCTTGGCCTACAGGAGGGAGCTGGACGAAAAACCCGAGAGCAACAAACCCGAGGTTTTGTTTCAAGGTGGATTCTGGAGCAAACAAATGCGAGGATGTGTTTCACGGTGCAACTGCCAAGCAGCAATGGGTGTCAGATGGCGGGTGATTTTTTCCAATCGTACATCAGAAGGCTTGAAGACTCGGAATTTCTCGGGGCTTGGAAAACGGCATGCGCTCTGCATGTTCTCAGGGAGCCAAGTTGGCCAAGTCGTTCACATGAGTAGTGGCTCTGACTCATGAGAGACCGCACCGAGGCGACATCACACGGCCCAGTGGCACCCTTGCCATCGCTGGCAGCGGCGTCCTCAGCCTTGGAATGAGGTCGGTGTCTCTTGGGGTGTCTTCCAGTTGCATTTTTTTATTTTCACTCACCTGTTGGTTTCAAAGGGAACCCACTACTGGTGGAAATATGTTTATGTTTTCCAGGGGACTCAACTGAGCTGCCAAGAGAGTAATGGAAAGGGCCTGTTCGAACGATGTCAGTCAGGTGCCAGAGTGGCACAAAATCGGTTTGCAAGAAACTATTGCACGGTGCAGACAAACGCAAAGAGGCCATGGTTTGAAGTTGGTAGAACTCATGATCAAACCTGGGCGTCAAACTTGTTTCAAATGTTTAGAACCAACTCACGCAGGAATAAATTGGACTGTGCAGGCGAAGCAAAGAGGCTTTGGCGTGAACCTGGGTGGAACATGGGGTCAAACTTCAAGCCTGGCTCTGACTTCAAATTGAACTTGTTTAGAATTAATTGTTTTATCAGATTTACCAAGGAAGTAGATCTTAACGCGAGAGAACATGTCTGCTGTGACGTCACGCAGGTCTTGGTACTGGATGCCCGTTTCCATGTTTGTGGAGCCCCTGCTGGAGCTGATTCAGGCCATGGATCATGGAAAGGGTTGCAACTAAATGCGACTAAATGGCTGTGGTTGTCAAAACCAATGGGATCCCATTTTGGGGTAGGTGCACCACCCATTTTAGTCTATTTTAGTGGGGATTGGGATGTTCACTGGGGATACGGGCTTTTGACCCATGGCCAAATGACGCCCCTGCAAATTAGCGTGGAACATAAAAAGGGGTCTCCCAAACGGAGCGGTTTCTACTAAGGATGCTTTTTGGTTCCATGTCAAGCAGAAGCAGAGAGGCTTGCAGAGGTATTGTGGCGCCCCGGGTTGCTTACTGATCAAGCAGCGAATTGGGCAGCATTGGATTCCTGATTCCCATCCCGTGGGTTGCATCGTGGAGACTCTTTCTATTTTCGTAGACATGTTTGTCCATGACTACTCGATTTGCACAAAGCCCGGCATGCATCACCAGATTTGGTAATATAGAGAGACGCTTGCACCAAGCTGGCTGCCAAGCCACCATTCAGTAAAGGCGTTTGATATGAATTCGCCACAAACTTTCCATCATCCATCAAAGTGAATGGGTCTAGCCTGACAGGTGGCGTGCTCTTTGCTGGAGGCACCTTGCTGCGTTTTCGGCTGACTACATTTGTCACTTGCAACTGCGACATCGAATTCTTTGCTTGCCAACTGGAAACTCCTGAAATCGATTCAGCCAATTGGACGCTGGGCTTTTTGGAAACGCCGATCTCGGCCACGGCCAATGGCACTGAGGCCGTGGCATCCGTGCTGGAGCCCCCAAACGGAGCCTGGTGCCTGCGGCTGCAGCACCTCTTGGGTCTTTGCTTCGAGGCAGGGAGGCCCGAGGGGTCTACGAAACAGCCAGCTCACTTTTATGGACCCAGGCATATTCCCCTTGCAAACTAAGTGAGATCCGATCAAATGTGGGGAAACGCAACGTGTCAAGCAGTTTGGAAGGCAAGTCATTCACAGGGTAGTGCAAACCAACAATTGCCGAAAGGCCAGCAGCATTGCAAGCCAACTGTAAAAGCAACACATGATCATCACAGCGAGGTTTTCCTCAGGGTGAGAATTAATGGCATCCATGGCGATAGGCTATAGCCAATGCAACTGCCGCGATGTTGCTAGATAGGTGTTGGAGAGTGCCTATGACCTCTAGCATGCAACTGTTGATGCGATGAGTGGCAGCATATGTTCTGCATGGTGCATGGTGCATGGTGCACGCGTGCACGTGGCAGGTGCTCTTCAATCCCGGCTTCCAACTGGCATCGTTTCTTGCCGGGGACTTGTTGGTGAATGCACCGCTGTCATGGTCAGAGTCTCGCCAAGGCTTTTAGGGCCTGACATATTCTTTGAAGGCATGAAGCAAAACACGGCTTAAGGCTTAAACACCACGTGCCCATACTTCGGCTTCTTGGAACTGCGAAGGGATTCGTTTGACCTGACTATCTGACTGTGTTACGTGTTTTGCTAAGGCACAACCGCCTCTCAAGGCTCTGACCCGGGGGACCTGAGCTTGGGACAGGTTCGCAGAGCCAAGCGCGGAAGGCAATGAAGGCAACCAAACGCAAACAAGTGGAGCATGTGATGCAGCCCCAATTCTTGACTCCGACTGTGTTTGGAGACGGTTGTCCAACTATTTAGCCCAGGGTCAGAAGCTGGTTTTTAAGAGAGGGAATACTGCCTGCGCAAAAAAGGAGGCTCTCCCGCATGTTAGAGGAAGCTTCAATCTCAAGATTGCACAAAAGTTACATGGACTTGGCAGTGGGTCAAACATCAAAGTAGGTGGTACATGGGTGTGCATCCGCCCCAAAATGGAGGCGCAAACGTCATGCCCCATGGCCACTTGTCGATACCCAGCGCTTTGCCAGGCCCTGGGAACGCTGATCCTGGCCAAAGCTGTGGCCCGGTTGCTGCTCTACCCCTTTTCAGAGGCGTGCTTGAAGATTGGTACCCTCCCAGTAACTAACATGGAAGTGCAAAAAGACCCTTTCCAAGAGGAAAGTAGTCTTTCTACAGGGGTCTGTGCACTTCCATGTTAGCTAGTGGGAGGGTTTCATAGCAATTGTTGCGTTTTGCTCACTTGCGACCGCCTTTCCAACTTCTTTGTGTCTTTGCTTCGTGCTACAGGTCGTGACATGTGCGCGTCGTTTCACACCAGCAGATGGCCCGAGGTTTCGCGGTTCTCTGATCAATGCAGTGCATTTCAAGATGGGCCGATTGTCGCCAAGGCGTTGATGACATTTGTATGGTTTGTCCTGTCCAAGTAGATTCGCTCGGCCCACGGCACTTTGGCAATTGCGCTTTTCTCTGCTAATGTTGGGCTCCCTCCTAAAGTGTGCCACCAGTCAACGGGGGCTTCTTTGGCGAACAATTCGGGGTTCTGGGTGGGACTTGGACTTGCCTGTACTTGATTTAGTATTGCCAAGACTTACGCACAGATTCCCGGTACTCAATCTAGCATTGCCCGATTTAGCATTGCCAATTCTACATTTAATATTGCCCAGACTTGCGCTCAGATTTTCAGATCCGGATAAACCACATTAAAAGTAATTGCTAAGGTTATGATATTGGAATTTGACACCCCCCACAAAAAACAAAAAAGAGAAGAAAAAGAGCTTGACATTAAAGCGACCCTCACAACAATCAGATCAAAGCGGATCAAGGGCTCTCGTGGGGTACCGTTTTCCTGTGGCTGTTTGGCCTTGGTTGTTTTAGTTAGGGATTTTTACACAAATCGATGGCCTGGAACGGGATTCATTAGGTCGACGGCCTGGAACGGTCTCTGGTCCTCCTATGTTTGTTTTTGTTTGCCCATTTTGTTTTTCTACAGGACAAGGCATGGGATTAAATCGCCTGCGAATAAGGAAAGAAAAGTGAGCCCAGTGGTGCCAACGTGTTAATCTTTGTCAGCCAAGTCCTTCAGAGAAGCAGCTTTTGCCGAGCAACAAATTCGACCTCCTAAGTGAGTTGCGATGCTTTGTTGACATGGTAGCTCCTCATTCAGTTACAATAGTTGGCTCTATCGCAATTCAGCACGACCTTGTTTGCTCGCACGCCCATGCTTAGCAATTGAGAACAAGGATGCGCTTTGCCAGCCAGGTTCAGCACTACATGCCAGAGCACATGTGCGACACGGAGGTCGGATGCTCAGAGTTGGCAGATGCGTGCATTGTTGCAAGCACAGCTGACAATCTTATGGGCAATCAACATTTGGACTCCATGCAGACCTTTCTTTTACATTGAAAGACTGAGAAGCCTTGATCCAGATTTCTGATCCTTACCCTGGCTGGCTCATCAAAGGAGGGTTAACAAGAGCTTGAGCGGTACTACTAATTGAGTCTGCTTTCTTTGAGAATAGGGGCGGGAGGCAGCAAAGACAAAGCTGGAGCACGGAAGAAGGGGGCGGGGGGAAAGAAGCATCGCAAACCACTTCAGAAACGCCGAACAGAGGTGGGTTCGGAACGGTCTCAGAACGGTCTCGGAGACGGGGCCATTGGCTGTGCCACCGCTGGCACCGACAAGTGAACCATTTGGGGACTGTTGTGGTGGCGACGGTCAAAAGCTTCTTTTTGGTTTGTTGTGTTCGTTGTTCACTTCGTGGGGGAGGGAGGGAGAGGGAGAGGGAGAGAGAGAGAGAGAAAGTGAAGGAGAAGAAAAAGAAAGAAAAAGAAAGAGAGAAAGGGACAGAGAGAGAAGAAAGGGAAAAGAAGCACACTCCAGGCATAGTTTTTACTTTTACAGACTTTACTAGTATTTGGATGGTCGATGTTGCAAGCGTGTGACGCCCCCATCAGGCATTGATCTTAGATGAGTACCAAAGAAGGGATTAACATTGTTCAAGCGCAGATGGGGCGATGGAGTGCAAATTGTGCCTTCGACATGTCTGTGCGACAACAAGCAACACACTCCTGGAAATGCCTTGTGGGTTCTCCCCAGTTGAGAGAGGCCTCTCATGGCGAATTTTCAGGAGAGCGAGTGGGTGGTGGGGCAGCTGAAGCGCACCGCAAACCTTGAGCCTGGACCTTGAGCGCCTCGCTTCGGCATATGACTCCTCATGAATGGGACGTGGATTGGCCGGGCCAAGGGGGCGTATTCGATTTTTCTCAGCACAAGTGACAGGGTTTGATGTCTGGAGGTGCAACTGAGAGTTATTTTTGAAGGGGACCGCGCATTCAGCCTCCTGGCTATGAGGCTCTTGCAGTGGAATACAGCTGGCACGTGACATGCGCAGATTCAGCTGGGTTTGAAGTTTGAACTGAGACGTTTTGTAGGGCAAGTCCAACGACTAGAAACGAGTGAACGACGTGGAGATGCCGTCGGATTCCGATGGGTTTCCTTTTGACATGTTAGCAACACGCTTTACGATGCAGGAAGGGCGAAGGGAGATCGTGGCTTGTTTTACACCGTGTGCACCCCTACTGAATTTCGCTCCAGCTGTGTGTCCGTGCCCAAGGTTCCCCAACCGGCTTGCCTGGCTGCTGGACTTCCTCATGTTTCACGGCCAAGCCGACGTAGTTTATCAACCTGGCATTGGGATCGAAGCGGTGGATGAAGATATGGTCAGAAGCGGAATGCTTGAGTGCTCTTCTGTGGATTCCAACATTGGCATCGCAGTTGGTTGACAATGTCAGGGGACAGCCACCAGATCGAGCACCATCTGTGGCCGGCAGCTGTCTCAGCTTTAGTACACACTGTTTCATCGTTTCAAGGCAGACCCTGGCTGCGACTTGCGCGGCTGCCTGATGTGTTGTCCATTGTTGTCCATTTTGGTTCTCAAGGCAGAAAATAAGGCCAAAGGAATTGGGCATGCTGCAAACGAGCATTTGAAGAAGCACATGCCACGTACATCCCATCCCTTCTTTTTGCCATGATGGCAGATCAACAAGAATGATGCGCAGTTCCTTGCCCTTCACCAGCAGTCTTGGTGGTTCTTTGACCAATTCACACGACCAATGCCCAGGAGCATAGTTGAATGTCCTATGATAAGCAGCAAAATAAAGACACGCATATGCGTAGATTTTTTTTTAAGATAAGGGACCTTTTGGTGGACATCATTTAGGCGTGGCAGGTGGCTCACTCTCAAAATATAATGGCCACATGACACGCCACCAAGGCCATGAGCTTCGTGCAGTATCACCGTGCCGCCCCCATGGCTCGCGCAGCCTGCAAGGACCTGGGCTTGTGCCTTGGGCTGAAATGAGGCCATTGGTACTGCCCGGAGAACTGGGGGGAGGACCAATCGGCCCGCAGGGAGACATAGCGATACTGCCTTTTCGAATGTGCAGATTTTTGTGGCCGTTCAAGGTTCAAAGCAGCTTTGTGGAGCTGCTTTGAAGCCCACCAGTTAAGCAGCTTTTCAAGAACCACGGTGTTCACCTTTCTCGTAGCTTTGCGAGGCGCGAATCCCTTTGATCCGCAGGAGTCGTTATTGGATGACAGTGTGGAAACATGTTCCCCTCTTGAAAGTTCACCGACCCTCTTGGTGGAACCCCAACGGTCACGAAAGGGGGTGAAGGGAGGTTCGCGAGGTAAATCTCTTGAGGCAACGAACACCCATTACTCTGAAACGGTCATTCATTTGGTTTTGGATCGTGATGACTTATCCTTGGAAAACCCGTATGGGATTAGCGAGCGAAGCCGGCTCGATCCGTCACGGCATTCTCTCGTATTGTGCGTTGCTATCTCCATAAAGTCCGCAGCTGTGTCCGGAGTCCGCTTCCTCGAACAGCGCTTCCGAAGTCCTGTTCAATCAGAGGCAGAGCAGTACCTGAACGAGCATGCAAATGTCTACAACGTGTCAACTTGGTTGGATGACTTGCTGAGGCCATATCACAGCGTTGGCCGCAGACTGAGTCGACAATTCTACAGCCGTCACATTTAGCAAAGGTTGGCAGTGCTTTACCAACCTGAGAGTGTGATGATGTCAGACCACACTTTCACCTAAACCAGCCTGAAGCCAGCCTGACCGTTGCAAGATGTTGAGGCTACTTCGAGGGCTACTGCAAGATCTACAGACAGGTTGGACCGGGTGTTGGGTGGGCAGAGGCGAGCAGCTCACAACATCCGGAAGCTGACTGCGAGTGCATGCGAGAACCAATTATGGCCATGGTTCAAAACCAATGGTACCATTTTGGGATAGGTGCACCACCCATTCTAGTGTATTTGAGCGGAGATTGGGATGTTCACTGGGGGTACGGGCTTTTGACCCATGGCCATATCTCAAAATGAGGGCTTCCTTTGCTGGTAAACTGTTGTTCTTTTGGTTTGCACTTCTTTGGACCAGCTCAAAAGGGGTCCACATTTGGACACTTCCAAACGGGCTGTGCAGGTGCAGGAGCACCGGCATCCGGGACAGCCGATGTCCCGAGCTTACATGGCAGATGTTTGTGCACAAATAGGCAGTTTCTGCGCGCGGTTATCTTTGGTGAAATAGCTTTGCACAAGTTTTTTGGAGGCTCTTGGCAGCTGAGTCAGATAGAGCGGAGCTGTTTTGCTGGCGGCTTGCCCCACAGTTCAACATGAAAATCAGGTCGAAGGCATCAACAGGCCATTGGACGCTGGACTCATAGTGGCCAAGGAAAAGACAGCTGGACCCAGAGGACTTGCAGGCACAAAAAATGCTCGAGTGGTGTCTGGGTTGGCCTTACACAGGCTCGTCATGGGATTCCTCATGCCTCCGATTCGCATGGCAGGACTCCCCGACTTCCACAGAGTCCAGGCGGAGGAGAGCCAAATCGAGCTGTCGATGAGCAGTCAGCAGGCTGCAATTTCAAGCATGCGGAAACGCAACAGAAATTCAGCCATGCAGATGTGCTGTTTCAAACAACTGTCGTGAGAACATGTGTGTGAGAGTGTGTGTGTGTGTGTGTGCGCGGCATCCATTGTACTTATGAACAGCACGCCAAGCTCACGAATTCCTGTGTCAGGACTCGACGTCGAGTTGCGCCCAGCAGTGAGAGCTGAGACGGCTAGAGCCCGACTTTTTGGTATTCCTGCTCCTTGCGTCCGCGTATTGTTTGCCTTCACGTTCAGACCCAGAAGCATGATTCACTGGGGTCACTTGAACTTTAAGATCACCGGTCCCAACACAGTCGGGAGCAATCAGTTGAGCTGCAATGGACTCCTGCCTGATGTTTACGTGCATGTAGAGGGACGAGGCAAAGAAGGGAGCACTTGAAGTGTTGTTTGCCAGCAAGCGCCTTTCATCCCATGAGAGCGCTGCACCGTTAACGAGCTGCCGTTTGCCAATGCAAACAAATCGGCGCCTGATTGCTGCCGGAGTGTGGATGATTTCGTAGAGAGCCGCAGTTCCGGGGACAGAGGGGAGTAGGGTATGGGCTTGCAAAAGATGGCCCCACGCAGACCTCATCATCTACCAAGCAAAGTGCTGGATCCATCTCTTCGCAACCTACCTGTCCGCAGCTCAGCGGCAGCCCGCAGGTCAGGCCAGGAATTACGCGTGCTTGCATGTGCTTGCATGTGCTTGCTACTTTGACTCGGGATTCCCTCAAAAGCCTGCATGACCAAGGTCGAATCAGAACTTGCGATTTCCATCCCGAAACTTTGATGAGGATGTCCGACTCCAAGCGTGCATTACTGGTATGGCCTCTAGGTGCCTCATTGCCTCATGGTCACAAGGCTATGTTCCAAGACGCTGCTCCATTTGGGCAACGAAATGCCTGAGGTGATTGCCTGGTACTATAGCAACACCATCGAGGCAGGAAGGTAGCCTTCGAGGTGGTTTCCCACTTGCTTTGTAGTGGGCGAAGTTGCGATTGGTTGCACGCGTGTTTTTTTCTTCTATGCACGCATAGTGTTTCGCGCTCTTTGCTGAGGGTGCCAACGAAAGCGCACAGATACAGTCATTTCTGTGACTTGTTTGCCAAGAACCAGCCATCGAGTCGCCATGGGCCAGGCGCAGGCCCACCTTTGGTTCGAGGATCGTAAGACGCCCTGACATGCTTGGGCCATTGGCTCCTAGGCGCACAGGCCCTGAAAGACAGAGATGCGAGGGTCGCGGCTGAGATTTCGTAGCTGGTTCGCCGGATCCCGCTCGAACCTCGCTTGTGCGCACAGTTAATATGAGATATGCTGGGTCGGCTGTGACCCCCTCAAAAAACATTGGCAAGGCACTAAGCCACTGGCAAGCACGAACACGTTTAAGAATGTGGCCGGCATGGTGGAATTCATCATATGGCAGTGGGTCAAAAATAGGCACCCAAAATGGAACCCTGGTAAATGGAGACATAGACTAAAACCTGTGGTCCCCTGGTGGTTGAATTTTGACCCATATCCATATTTGGCCAGATCTCAATTTGCTGCCAGGGTCATTGCCTGCAAGCTCCAGTTCTGGGCAAACGTCAGGTGCTCAACGCGGGGTTGGCCATTGTTTGGACTGGTGACTTTGCACCAGACCTGCAGCCATCGGATGACCATTATATATGTAAAAGTGTTTCCGCCCCACAGGTATTTCAGATCTCATGCCGCACTGGAAGATGTCCACTTGGATAGCAGCATCTTGAAAGCTTGATTGAGTTCTCATAACAAGGTTTGGACATACTTCTTGTTCGCCTGATTGAGCCCTCCATCAAGCGAATTAACAGTGCTTGCATCTACCACTCCACATTTGGCTGTGGGTCAAAACCAATGGGATCCCATTTTGGGGTAGGTGAATTTACCACCCATTTTAGAACCTATTTTAGTGGGGATTGGAATGTTCACTGGGGGGTACGATTTGGGTTTTGACCCATGGCCATTTGAGGTAGGAATTCTCACACTCACAGCTTGGGAAGTCTAAGGTTGCCGTGACGGTGCCCTCTTCAGAGGCTTGACGCAGTCAAATGAAACGTACAGTTTCGATAAATTTGGATGTGTGCGCGGTCTTGTACAAAATACTGGGCGCGGTAAAAGAAGTGGGAATACATAATGCGAATGATGTCCCAGTCCAACTCAACGTCAGTCCGGATGTTGGCTGCATCCTTGTCGCATGAATCTTGAAGCCCTAGTCGAACACCATCAATGAGGCCAATGCCTTCGCCTCACCAAGGCGTAGGACCACTTTTCCAGAAGCAGTTATGCCAGGGCTTGAAGTACATGGAGCTGTGGGACGAGTATGTCACGGCGAAGAACCGGCAAGCGTCGAAACACCCAG